CTAGGCCAGTCTAGGATTCTGTGATTCTCCTTTGAGAGGCAGCAGGAACCACGTGCTTTGCCTTGAGGTACATTTACGACCTAAGTTTACTGCACTCCTGCTAGGAACCTTGTGCTGGAAGCCACAGGGAAGCTGCTTTGGGAGGATGATGGAGAGAGAGGAGATCCCAGGATTAGGAGAGATGCCTGGGACACAGCAGCTTTCACAAAAGCAAGACCTCAAGCCTGCTGGGAATGACAACAGCCAAGGGGCTGTTATTTGGAGGAAGGACAGGTGAAAACAGAGGAAAACTTGTGATGTCCTCGCAGCACTCGGGATGTCATTTTATTTGCTAACAGGGACTGGCATTGCAAGGGCAGAAGACCTGTGCACAGTCCCTACCTGCAGCTTGCAAGGGAGTGGGATGTTGCTCAAAGGTCGCTACTATGCACCTAAATCCTCTGCTAGGGTGTGACAGCACCCTGGGGCAGTGCCCAGCAGACCAGAAGAGTGTTTCCAGCCCTTCCTCACCTGCCCTGTCTGACAACAATGCCCCTCAGATGAAGTGGCCAAAAGGGAAGCTCTGCCAGGAGAGAGAAGTGCTGTGCACTGAAAGAAAACCCTAAATCAGCCAGGCTTATCGCCCAGGTGACAAAGTCTTAGAAAGTTCAAGGCTTTTCCTCCCCAGCAGCACCTTCCTTTTTTCCTTTGTATCTTCAGCCATCTCTTTTCAATGACTTGGAAGGAACTTCCCCCCATCATTGAGAGATGACAGAAAACAGCCCTCCGAGCACAGGTTGTTAGATACAAACAGAGGCAGAAAGCTCGCTCGCACAAATCCTGTTTCTTAGGAAACTAGATTGGAAAAAAAAGAAAAAAAGGAAATCCATTGATGACAACCTACAATGCTTTTGTCCAGAAGTAACAAAACAAACGTTCATCATAAACCACTTTTCTTTGCGAGCTGCTTTAGAGATTGCAAATAGGGAAGAGACACGACCCAAGGCATCACAGAATCCAATTCCACCAGCACAATGACTCCAAACTAGATCTCCGCCTAGACACATTTGCCTTGGCTTTTTATTTGCTGCTTTTTCACAGAGCTTGGCTTTTCTTCCTTTTTTTTTTTTTTCTTTTTTTCCTCCCTAGTCACTGTCAAAGCAAACTGAGACACTGAAACCTCTCCAGCTGCAAAGGGTTCCTTGGCAGAGCCCCACGAATGCTGCTGGAGCAGCTCCATGTGCCCCGGCAGCAGCAGTGACCTCTGTTCTGGGAGTCAGCTCCGCATCCCAACGGGGTCTCCTCCTGGGAGGTAGCACTGAGTCACGTACTCAGTGCTGAAAGTTCAGTTTCCCTGGGATAATACGTTCCCTGCAGCCACTAATGGAAGCCAGGATACTTTCACAGCCGTCGTTCACAGCAACGAAGGATAAAGCTCTTGGAAGCACTTGCTCATCTTTTAACGGAAGGTTTAAAAAAAACACAACACAAAGTAAATACAACCCATTTACATTTTCCCCAAATCAGCTTTTTTTCCTTGAGAGTTTTTCCTAACTTTAGGTCAGATCCAAAACTCATCAAAGCAACAGAAATCTTTCCTTTGGCTTTGACAGGAGCTACAGTTCCTGGTACCTGTGAACTCCATCTTTAAGAAGAGAGCTAGCAAAGGGCCCCATGCCTCAGCAATGATCAGGAGTCACATTCTGAATTATACTCCAAAATAAGAAAATCTGCTTTCTTTAAAGCTTTGCTCTTTTTATTGCACTAGCTTAAAGAAAATAAAGCAGGCAGCAACACCCTGGCCTCATGCTCAAACATGGCATGTGTGAATCTGTTATTAGGGGCTGCTCACCAAGGGCTGATTTCCTACAGTTACTGTTATTGCTTTTTACTACTGAGCCAACCACAGCCCTACAGAGCTAAATTTGGGGAAAAACACACATAGAAAAGGCCTTCCTCAGCTGTCAGAACTGCAATTACTTCTGCTAACTGCTGGTAACTGGCAGCTGCATTGGGTAACCCCCCGGGGGGGTTGGGGTGCGTTGCTGCACCATGGCCTCGGGCAGGAGGGATAAGCAGAGCAGCGTGGACGTTCTCTCGGTGCTGGGGAGCTCAGCAACCATTAGCCAGTTATGCAACTTGTTGCTATTTCTCTGAAGCTTTTAAAAGGTCTCACCAGCTCCTGGGCTGCTTTGGCATCTCAGAAAGCAGAGGTCCATCTCTCCACCCGCTTCCCAGGGTTCACCTTCACAGCCCTGGGGTCGCTCTGGGTCAGACCCCGCCTCGACCCCCACAACAGGAGGATCGGGGTGATCCAGGGTGTCCCTGCAGCGCTGGCACTAACAGGGTCTGCACACCCTGTTCCTCTCCAGGCAGTGGGGCTGACACAGAAATGCCCAAGCACGGCAGATGTGCTGGGTCCGTAGGAGCTTTAAAGTGTTTGCTTAGATTAGAAAAAGAAATGGAGATTAACTGGGGATTAACTAACACACACCAGGCTAACCTGTACACAGGCTTTCACTTTTGGCTCTGATTTGACAAGATACATCTACATCCACAGGGTCAATTTACATCCAAAAAATGGACAAGAACACCGTAAGCGATGCTAACCCGAACCTGCCGAGCTCTCACAACGGCCCTGCCTGCCCTGGGCAGCCCAGGGCACAGCATCCAGCTACCCAGCAACCAAAAGGGCAGTGCCAAAAATGGCAAGACTACAATTTCCAAAGCAAAAAAATACTTTCAGGAGACGTATTTCAGGAGATAAACACCCAATGCAATGCCTTCCCACTCTGTGCCGTTGGTCCTGGCACTGCCTACGCCAGTGGGACGGAGGGATCAGGGAAGGCACCATCGATCTCTGCAGAACAAACCCATCCTGAGGCAGAGCTCGGGAGGGAGGACTTGGAAGGCAGCGGAGAAAGGAGCCAACAGAAACAGCAGCTGCTCCGGTGCCGTGAGTGAGTCAGCTCGGAAGGGATAGAAGATGGAACGAATTGTGGTTCCTTTGCTTGGCCAGCTCCAGGGCATCTTGTCCAGATTTTTGTCTCATCACTTCCATCTTCCGTTTAAAAGACGTTTCTCCTGCAATTTCAGGCCTGCTGGAAGCACAGAAGGGCTAAGAAATCCTATCAGGCACACCATGCCCACCTCTCTCCTCCAACACGGTATGTTGCTTGTAAAGCCAAGGATCAGGGAGGAAAAGTTAGCTGGGGACTAAGAGGGAAGGAGCATGCTTCACATCTCCACACCATACTCTTATTCCTCTTTGTGCCAGGACCAACAGCTCCGTGCACTGGGACAGGCAGCAGCACGTGAGTCTGCCCGGGTGCTCTGACGGGCCCATTTCCACCCAAAAGAGGCTGCTCCACTGCAGGACCCCTCTCACCAAACACAGTACGGAGCAGCCCAGGGCTGCACCAAGGGCAGCAGGGTTTGCGCCTGCAACCACCCAGCTCTACTCAGCAGACACCTGCCCTGGGACCCACCACAAACTGCTGAAAGCCCTTTCCACAAGCCTTCAGGCACAGCTGCACACAGCAAGTTGGTTTTCCTTTTGCCAGCTGTCTCACTCTGGACCCCCAGCCTGAACAAAAAGGTGTCACGGGGCAGGCTCAGGGCCACGAGCACATCTGCAGACAGATTTTGCAGGGATCCCAGCTCCACACTTAGGATCCACTTGCTTCTGATAAAGGAGGGACAGAGAAGGAGCCTTCGGCATAAGCAACCTTTTTGAATCCGAGACCTTCAAACTCTGGTTTTAGCTCATCAAAGGATTTAAAAGTCCGGCTTTGCCTTCTGCCCTGCACCCTACAGCTCCCGAGCTGCCAGGGAGCTCCGGTTCGGCGTGAAGGGAGGCATCCTGCAAGGGGGTGGGATGCAGGGGAGCCAGGCACTGCCCAGCTGGGCCACAGCACTCAGCATCTTTCTGCTAAACGCCCCCGTTCCCTTACAAAACACGCCTGCTCGTTCCAGACCTCTCTTCCAACGCACAGCAGGTTCTGAATACCACCACCCACGTGCCTCTAATTTCAGGTGACCTGCTTCGGAGCTAGAAAATGTCAAGACAAATCAGCAGCAATGCTTCTGCAGCCTGCCTCTGAGATCCCTGCCTGTTACGTAAGGCAGCCCACCCGATTTCCCTCCCGTTCGGCACCACACGCAGGCAGCTGTTCCGTGCCCACCGGGGAGGTTCAATTCCTTGTGTGCTACCTGAATCAGAAATGCATATGGTAAAAGTAAACGGGCAGAGGGAACCGAGCTCTCAAGGGGGAAAAAGGTGAATGAGGAGCAGCAGCAAGGAGCAGAGGAGAGACACTTACGTAATACTTGTCGTCGTTCTCGTTGTAGGCCAGCTTCACAACGCCGTAAGAACCCTAAAAATAAACACCAATTGTACAAGTCAATTCAGAAGTTCCACCTTGTCTCCTTGCTGCTCAAGGCTGGTAGGCTGTGGCTTTATACAGGAGGGGAAAAATAAAAAACAACCCCAAAAAACCTTCCAGACCCCAGGACACGTCTACCCCGAGTAAAGTCTGTAGGGGAGGCGACCCCACGGCAAGGTTGCATGTGTTGGCAGCTCTGTTGGAGCCACAGGTTTGAGGAATTAACAGTTTTTGGAGGAACCCATCACCTCCTGCCCTAAGCCAAAGCCACGTCTGCCTTAACTCAAATATGGGTGAGAAAAGAGTAATTTTTAAGTGGATTTTTTTGGTGCAAGTTTGGAAATTCTGCCAAGACACATTTCCCACGGTTCTGCGCAAGACCACTTCCAGTAGGAAAGCTCTCCATCTCTCAGGAACAAACAGACTTCAGGGAGGGCCAGCTGCCTGCCTTCCACCAACCAGCTCTTGCCTGGGCAGATGCAGGCCTGGATTGCTGCTGTATCCACAGCTCCAGCGACAGCCTGAAGCCAAACTCCATCCAAACTGTTGTTTTTCCACAGTTCTGTGTCAAAACTACACATTTTAAGCAAGAAAGACATGACACCATGGTAGGTATCATCCCTGACGTGTTGAATAAATGAGCGGGATGATCACTACAGCTTTCAAAACATTTTTTTTTTTTTTTTTAACTTCACTGAGACCTGGAATGAAAGTCCAGGTCTCAGAGGAGACCGACAATCCATCGGGCTGAACCAGAAGCAAAGCAAGTCCCACAGACCCTCTACCAACCTCAGGGTGCCTAACTGCTTGCTGTGATCCACAGGGGAGGAGAGGGAAGGCACAAATTCACCAGAGAAGAGGCCTCACCCTCCTTAAAATATACCTAAACTAATGATGAAACTGTAAGAGGGTCTGAAGCCATGTGTGAGCTTCAGATGACATCTGCTACTGTACCACCAGCAGCGGCATCTCCACCCTCACACCCCGAGTGCAGACAGCCAAGCACCCAGCCCACGGTGCAGACGGGCCAGGGCGCCTCCTCCGACAGCCCCGGGGCTCTCGGCTGGGAGAGGAGTCTGAGCTAACGAAGCTCTCGGGGCATGTCTCTGCAGCTGAGGGTGCAGTCAGTCCCTTCTGACCGCCAAGGTAGGTGCAGCTTCCAGACGGCACCACCGCTCGCAGACCCATCTGCAGTGGTGGCAGCCGTCCAGATGTGCAGGTGTCTGCACTGCTCACCAGCCCAGACCTCTAAATAACTTTGAGGGAATCTCTTCTGAATAATTCTGCAGCTTTTAAGCATGGACTAGAATTAAACTAGCATTTCACTGCGACCACAAAAAACTTCAACTAGTTTAAGCTTTTATGAAGACCAGGGACCTGCCCTGATTTTTATTTTTTTTTCATTCCTTATTGAGTTGTATTAATGCATCAAAGGCTCTTAGTGTTGCATTTGGCAAGCAAATGCCCTGGAAGGGAGCCAGCTTAACCACCTTCAGAGGGAGGGAAGGAAAATAAATTTAGATTTCAGAGGAAGTAGCTCCACTTTGACCTTGAACAAAACTTGCTTAAACTAAGATAAAAAAAGACAGAAAAAAACCCCTCAAAACAAACACAAGTTGCAAGGAGTCTTGGCCGGCAAGGTGCCCTGGGGTTGGTGCAGCCTTTCCACCCGTACTGGTGTGTGTGTGCATGCAGGTTGCTTGTGACAAACAGGAGCTCCAGTACCGTACCTTGCCTATTTCGCTCTGCAGCTTGTACTGGTTTAATTGCACACAGTCCTGCAGATCAAAAGGAAAACATAATTAGAGTGTTGGAAAAAGGAAATGACGGAGTTTGAATTCGTATCAAGTAAAGGTATAATAATAAAAGGCTAAGTCTTATCCAAACCAGTATATTTTACACTATCAGCATTGATTTTTTTTTTTTTTTGTGGGGTGCCGAGTTACTCAGTAGATGAGGAGCGCTGGTGGTGCCACGCATCAACAGCTGGAAAGCAAGGTGGAACAGAAGAGCTGCACAGCCATCCAAGGTTAAATCCACCCTTCCTTTAGTCTTCTACCGCCTCAAGGAAAACACCTCCAGCCTGCTCTTGCAGGGACCTCTCAACCAGAAAACACCCCTAACGCAAGCGACTGCCCCGGTGAAGGAAAATAAAGGAGTGGGCAACCGATGGCTTTTAAGCTTGCAAGCAGTGGCTTGCCAGGAATACGGGAATGATTTAAATCTTGATCTTGCTTCCAGTGAAGGAAGTTCTTTCCACCACCCTGACAGGGAAGAAGAGCCAACTGTGAGTAATGAGGCCACCGACATGTGTTCACTCTGCTGCTAGCTAAGCACACTATGCTTCCAAAGGCAAAAACCAATCCACCAGAACGAGGAGCAACAAGAACAGAGAGAGCATGACGCAGCAAAAGCCAAGATGTAAAGCACAAGGCCACTGAAATAGATGGAAAAGAAAACTCCCATTGAATTTTGCAGAGAGGACTCCCCAGAGGAGGAGGCAGCACGCAGGGACCCAGGGTACAGACACGTGGAGGACAAGCTGTGCTGCGTCTGCAGATTCGCTTCCCAGCACAAGGCTGGGCTTGGCACCCCGTGGATTTTTTGCAGGAATGGTTTTCTGTTGATGTCTCCTGCACTGGGTTTCCCTGTGCTCAGCTTTGCACCCCTCACCCTGTCTCCATGCAGACCTGCAGTGCTGAGAAAAGCTCACCCGGGCAGGAAAAGCGACTCCCCTCCCCTCCAAGAATGCCTCCAGCCCCCCCAGTATGTCCTGCTCTTCCAACCGGCCAACGTGCAATGACCAGTTCCTGCTCTCAGGCCTCCTCCCTGAAGCAGGGGTTACTTACACGGGTAAATACAGCCTTTTACACCTAGTCATAGACTCTGCTCAGCACCTTGTTTCAAGCCACAGTGGTACCTCTAAAGCACCAAGTTTGCTGCTGCTGCTTCTTGCCAACCCTGCTGAGGAGCGACGGTGGCATTTTTTCCCTCTCCTGAAGGAGGGGAGTCCTTTGTGTGGGACACAGTCCATCCAGCCTGGCAAACTCCCTCACAGAGCATTTGGTGCAAGTGAGGAGGGACTATCCTTGTCTCTGTGTGTCCGAGGCACCAACTCATTTGACTCCAACCATCACCTTCCTGGCATCCCTTGTACCGCTGGCTAGAAACTTCTGCTCTTACCCCACCCCGGACCAAACACCTGAAGCATCTCTCTGGTCTTTCACTGCTGCTGAATTGAGCTTGATCAATCAAATCCATCGATGCCAGGACTCTCATCTTTGGGTGAAGTTTTTTTTTGAAAGGGATGGATAGATACCGGGATGGGAAGCCCTCTGAGGGAAAGGTGATGACAGGATCTGCAGCCTGCACTCGCTGTCGTCACAGCCCTACACCTGGTCGACACCTCCATCGCTCTCCACTCTCATAATTAGAGGTGAACAGCACTGTCACGTTCGTTTCTGTGGTTCTTGGAGCACTTGAGCTGAACGCAGCAAAAATCAAACCAGATTATAGGTGCTTCCTACCTTTTTTTTTTTTTTCCTTGCGGAAAGACCATAATTCACATCTCAAGCAACTCCCGCCACGTGTCGCTGCAGACTGGCAGGGCTGTCATTATGTTATTTGGTTCTCCTGCAGGAAGTGGGATAATTGCACTATTCCTTTATCGCAGAGAAACACCTAGCTCTGGGCCAAGTGTTTCTTAAAGATAACGTTGTACAATTCTCTTGATTTCATCACGCCAATGCATTTGCAACTGCTGATAAATACGTAGAGAGGCAGAACCTTAATGAGGTCCTTTAATGAAAAGCTGTCATCAAATTAAGACTGCTGCAGCTGTCCAAGTGTGCAATAATTGTTCTACCTTAAAAAAATAACAAGATGCCCCATTTGTTAACATGACCAAGGTTTTACTCAAGGGGAATGCCACAGAAAAGAAAAATTGATCAAAAATCATAAAGCACAGTGAGGTCTGGAGTCCAGGTCCAATTCCATAAATCCACTGCTGACACAAACCCCAAGAAATGGAGAATTGAGCCTTTGCTGTCCAGGAGGGACAAAGGAATGAGAAAGAAGAGCCAGAACTGGTTTCCAAAGTAAGACATTTCTGAAAACAGATTGTCTGCATATATACATAAATAATAGAGAATTTCACCCCCTGAAAGAATCCAAATTCTCCGGTCTAAAATGAATTACCAGGTTTAGCCATTCCAAGCTACACTTTAGAGAGAAGCATGGGAAAGAAAATTGGGAACTGAAAGCCAGGAACAAAGTCCCCATGGGTTTAAACTTGCCCTGTCTGGAAGGAAGTGAAAGGAGTTCTAAAAACAGGTGAAGATAAAAGCCAGAAAAAGAGCAGCAATGAATACAAATTAGCAAGTTGCTCAGGCGTAGAGAAGAACACAGGAAGCCCAGAGCTCAAGGAGATAAGAAAAATAAACAGATGTTGAAATACCACCCAAAACACGCGCAAGACTGAAAGCGCAGCGCTGTGACCGGCCGCCGGCGGAAGCACAGCCCGAGGATGGGCAGAAAAAGTGAAACCCAAGGCTCAGCACCACGGCCTGGGCTCACCCACCCAAGACCCTGAAGCTGGACGCAGGAGCCTGGGCACCCGCCAGGTCCCTGGGGTGTCACTGGGAGTGTGGCTGGAAGAATAAAAGGGTGCTGGGACCAGTGGGACAGAGGTAGCCCCACTCCAGTCCCCCTGCAACTGCAGCTTTCTCCTCCTCTCAACCCCGCCCTTGGACAAGTTGGAAACGTAACTTTTAATTAAAGGTTAATTAATGCAAGGAAAAGAAATTAGCAATGCCGGGGAGGGTGGGATTCTTCTTTGAAGAAATGTTTTCCAAGTGTCTTTGATCTTCTCAAGAGAGCTCAAGTTTGAGCACCACAGTAAGACCTTGAGAAGAAACTCGTTTGAGGGACTCACGGGGCTGGAAGGGGAAGATCTCCAGCCCACGCTGCGTAGGTGCTCGGTCTCCACCTGGGTTTACCTTTACGTGCAGCAAGGAAATCGTGAGCTTACAAAGAAAACTGAGCAGCTCTCAGAGACTGGAGGAGCCCAGCACTGAAGCACTGCCTCTCACGGCTCTTGACACCAGTTGCTTCAAAGCAGCTGGCCAAACAAGCAGGATAAAGATGTGGAAAGCCAAGGAAAGAAAGGGCAAAGCTGAGATTTATTTTCCACCCCTCTGGGATGAGCCATGGACATCAAGCATTGAGAGAATGCACTGGCCCAACTCATCCTCTCCGCTCCTGCAACAGCACACACGGCCCCAGCCCACGATGAGCGGGGAGCTGGGACAACGTCCTGCTGATCCCTGAGGGTGGAAGGACCACAGGGCTGGAGGAACTGGGAGTGGGATGGCAGGGAGTGGGTGGATGCAGGGAGAGAAAGGGAACATGTGAAAGAGAAAGGATGATTCAGCCAGAAGGGAATGGAGAAGAGGAAGTGTAAAGTATTAGCTGTGCTGGCAGGTCTGGGGAGAAAGCCTGGAAAAATATTTCTTTTATTCTTTTAGCCACTTCCCAAGTAGCGCTTTTCTTGGCTACCTGAAAAGGTTGGTTTGGGATGGCAGAAGTAAAAAAAACCAACCAAACAGCATCGCATTTTCAAATGCCACTTTCTAACAAGCAGCGCCTCTACCCTTTCGCAGGTACGAGCTGTGCCAGTCCAGGTGGAACGAGGGCTGTCAAACACGGTGACAAAACACCCATCCATCTGTACAAACACACTCACACAGAACCGTGCCCCGGTACACACAAGCACCGGAGTATCATCTGTGCGGCAACGCAGAAGCTGCTTTTAGCAGCCCCAGGAAAACCTTCTCCTCTTGCCAGCACTGAGCAGGAGCCGAGAACGTCACATCAACAGGCACAACGTGGGCAGCGACCTACACTTGGGGCCCTGCGCCTCAGCTCTGCGGAGTTATGTAGCCTTAATAGCTTCAGCTTAATCACTTCTGTGCCACAGCTAAAGGCAAAGCTGTTCCCCCGTTAGAGCAAAGCACTGACAGGCAGCAAAGGCAGCAGAAATCCCAC